CGGTCGTGGGATCCCCCCACGCCCTGGCCCTTGGGCCATTCCCCAGTTCCGGGGCCGCTCTGCCTTTCTCCCGCCCCCCCCTGGCCTGGCCGTGCTGATCTGATCTCCAGGGGCCCGGGGCGGAGCCAGGAAGCGCCTTAGACGCTGAATTGCTGCCGCGCGCCATGCGGGGGCGCTGCCTCCCCTCTGACTGGCCCGAGGCAGGGGCTGCGAGGCGCTAGGGGATGTCCGGAAGGATCTCTCGGGGGGACCAGCTTTGCTGCCTAAGGAGCAGAGCTACTGGAGTGGAACCTCGGAAGGGCGACGTGGAATCCCTGGAGCATTTCTCTGCTGCGCCTTAGACGCTGAATTGCTGCCGCGCGCCATGCGGGGGCGCTGCCTCCCCTCTGACTGGCCCGAGGCAGGGGCTGCGAGGCGCTAGGGGATGTCCGGAAGGATCTCTCGGGGGGACCAGCTTTGCTGCCTAAGGAGCAGAGCTACTGGAGTGGAACCTCGGAAGGGCGACGTGGAATCCCTGGAGCATTTCTCTGCTGAGACACCCCGACGGGAGGCCCTGGAGCGCTGGGGTTGTCTTTGCCTTTTGGGGGGATTTTCATGGCGGGGCTTGTTCCTGGTCCCCGTGGTGCTTTGCTTACAGCTGATGAGCCTCTGCCCCCCGCCCGTGGTCCCCCTGCCCTGACGCAGGCCTGCGCGTGAGGTGACACGAGGAGGCGAGCGGGAGGGCAGCACAGCTCACCATGGTGCTGCCGCCGCCTGACAAGCGCCACGTGTGTCTGACCACCATCGTCATCATGACCAGCATGGCCTTCATGGACGCCTACCTGGTGGAGCAGAACCAAGGGCCCCGGAAGATCGGCGTCTGCATCATCGTCCTGGTGGGAGACATCTGCTTCCTCATCGTGCTGCGCTACGTGGCGGTGTGGGTGGGGGCGGAGGTGAGGACGGCCAAGCGGGGCTACGCCATGATCCTGTGGTTCCTCTACATCTTCGTGCTGGAGATTAAGCTGTATTTCATATTCCAGAACTACAAGGCGGACAAGAGGAATCTGGAGACGGTGGCCAGGAAGGCCTTGACCTTGCTCCTGTCCATCTGCGTGCCTGGGCTCTACCTGGTGCTGGTGGCCTTGGACAGCATGGAGTACATCCGGACCTTCCGGAAGAAGGAGGATCTGCGGGGGCGTCTCTTCTGGGTGGCCCTGGACCTGCTGGATATCTTAGACATCCAGGCCAACCTGTGGGAGCCGCACAAGACTGGGCTGCCCATCTGGGCAGAAGGGCTCATGTTCTTCTACTGCTACATCCTGCTCTTGATCCTGCCTTGCGTCTCGCTGAGCGAGATCAGCATGCAAGGGGAGCACATTGCCCCGCAGAAAATGATGCTCTACCCCGTGCTGAGCCTGGTCACCATCAACGTGGTCACCATCTTCATCCGGGCCATTAACATGGTCTTGTTCCAGGACAGCAGGGTCTCCACCATCTTCATCGGCAAGAACATTATCGCCATGGCCACCAAGGCCTGCACCTTCCTGGAGTACAAGAAGCAGGTGAAGGAGTTCCCCCCCCACGCGATGGCCCTGGAGCTCCAGCAGAACTCCGTCCCCCACAACCAGACTCTGCACAGCACGCAGGGCGTGGCCCACGAGCAGTCGCCCACCAGGGACGTCCTGGACACATGACGGCCCCTCCAGACAGCATCCCTGGCTGCCGCCACCTTGGGGGTGCAGGGAGGCGGGAAGCTGCTCTCCCGTGGCGGGGGGCGAGTGAAGCGCACTCCAGGCACAAAGCACTCCGGAGCGTCTCCGAGACCTCTTCATCTCAGGTATAGCCCGAGTTCTCCAGGGACCCAAACGAACCAGCTGGGCCCTGGTTCCCCTCCTGCTCCTCCCCGGCGGAGCTGCCCCAGGAAGAGATTGTTACCAGAATCCTTTGGATGGGAAGGGGGGGCGGGGGGGCGGGGCGTGTGCACCAGTGAAGCCCGTGATTATACTTGTCGTCTTCTTCCCAGCGCTCGTGTTTGCTCCTCCCTATTCATAACTGTCCCTGGCTGAGCCTGCCTGGGACTCGGCCTGGCCCCACCGGAAACCTGCCTTTGCTCTTGGGCCCAGCAGGGGCGAGACACAAGTAGCCCCCCAGCCCCACGTGGGGGGGTCTCTTCTGCTGGGCTGCGGGGGCTGGGTCGGGGGCAGGG